GCGGTTCAAAGCCAGCCCGGGCAGGAGAGACCGTGAGACTCCTATCTCCAATAAACCACCAGAAAACCGGAAGTGGTGCTGTAGCTCAAGTGGTAGAGTGCTTGCATTGAGCTGAAGAGCTGAGGGACAGCACCCAGGCCCAGAGTTCAAGCCCCACGGCCGACAAAAAAAAAAAAAGAAATGATCATTAGGAAATGATGAGTTTGCAAGGTACTAGTGGCTCACACCTGTAATCCTAGCTACTCTGGAGGCTCAGATCTGAGGATCATGTTCAAAGCCAGACCCGGAACAGTACCAGGCCCTGAGTTCAAGCCCCATGACCAAAGGAAGGAGGAGGAGGAGGAAGGGAGAAAGAAAGAAAGAGAGAGAGAGAGAGAGAGAAAGGGAGGGAGGGAGAGAGGGAAGGAGAGAAAGAGGGAAGGAGGGAAGAAGGGAGGGAGGGAGGAACTTTCCCAGGACCCCTCAACCAACAGGAGGCAGGGATGAAATCCAGTTCTAGATGAGTCCCAGAAACCACAGTCCCTTTCTGCACACTTTTCCAGGATTCTCTTCTATTAAAAACAAAAATGGACCAAGAATTTTTTTTGGGGGGGGGTCAGTCGTGGGACTTGAACTTGCCTGGCCTTGAACCTGCCCAACCCAACGGCTCCCTCCCTCACACACAACATCGTTCAACACTCAAGCCCCAAGTGGTTGGGGGTGTGGCTCCCGAGGTAGAGTGCTAGGCTCTGAGTTCAAATCTCAATTCCACCAAAAAGAATCCAAATGTCCCTTCCTCTGTTCCCCCCAGACACGTCTTCACTGCTTTTCTGTTCCCCTGTGGGAGACACCCAGACGTGAGTCATTGAGTCACGTTAAATCACAGCACAGCAAAACTCTTTCTTCCACTGGGTGCTGGCGGTTCACGCCTGCAAGCCTAGCCACTGGCCATGGGCCCAGTTTCCGCTGGGAGCCTTCCAATGTATTCCTCGGATAAGAAGAGGCTACTTGTCAGTCATGGGCTTGAACTCAAAGCCTGGGCATTGTCCTTGAGCATTTTTGCTCAAAGCTAATGCTCTAGCCCTTGGAGCCATAGCTCTGCTTACAGTTTGGGGGCAGTTAGTTGGACATAAGAGTCTCAGGGATTTTCCTGCCTGGGGTAGCTTCAAGCCAGGATCCTCAGATCTCAGCCTCCAGAGTGGCTAGAATTACAGGGGTGAGCCACCAGCACCCAGCTTGGTCCCAGCTTAAGCCTCAAGGCTAAAGTTACTACTTAATTCAAAATCTTCACAAGTCCTCCCCTGCGGCTTCGTGATGCTAAGGTCACACTGACCTCTAAGCACCTTGTCTTGTTTCTCAGGCCTGATCTCCAGCCCATCAGCCAGTCAAAGCCCTCTCCAGGCTTCATTTCTTTATCCTGCATCTCGCTGAAGAGCAGCCAAGAGCAGCCGTGGCCTCACGCCGATGACACCAAAAGCACTTAGCCTGCAGGTTCTGAAACACTGCTGGGCATTTCAATGACAGCTGTCTGTAATGAAAGTGTGTGTGTGTCTGTCTGTCTGTCTGTCTGTCCTGGGACTTAAAGTCAGGCTGGCACTCTGTCATTTGAGGCTCAACTTCATCTCTAGCTTTTTGCTGGCTAGTTGGAGATCAGAGTCTTACAGACTTTCCTACTTGGGCTGGCTTGGAACGGTGATCCTCTGATCTCAGCCTCCCGAGTAGCCAGGTTTACAGGCCAGGCTCAGGAATGTCTTTTGAGGGCAGGTATTCCAAGACTTTAGCCTAGAGCTATGCGCATAATCAGTGCTAGGTAAATATTGGGACTACCTGGGCCACAGCCTCCTTGATCTGTCACAAGATAAAAGAGACAGCACACACCTTTCCCCCCAAGGAACCCAAAGGACCCCACCCTCCCTCCAGCCCTTTTCTCCTTGGGGACAGTTTTGTCTCAGGGAACAGAGTCCCTACCTGTCCCTCCTCCCCACCCCTCCCCAGGTGTGACAGGTGGAGTGCCCTTGGCTCCACCCCCTCTCGAGTCCCCCAAACCAGAGCATTCCAAGCTCCTGCAGGCCCTGCCGAGTCATCTTAACAGCACCTGGCAACCACAACACCAGGGGCCCGGCCCCGGCTTCCCAGCCCAGCCATGGCCCAGGCCGATGCTTCCCTGAGCCGCACACAGCTCCTCACCTCCGCCCCGAGGGCCGCCCTGCTCCTCAGCCTGGTCTTCACCTCCCTCCACTCAGCGCGCTGGGCAGGTAGCGTTGTGAGCTTTATTCTCGGCCGCTGGGAAGGGGGAGACGCAGGGAGGGGGCGGATTCCTTGGCCTGGGCTGGTCCTGCAGAGAAAGAGGAAACAATCTTCGGGTCTGAAGGATTAAGCAGGGCAGGAGTGCGTTGGGCCAGCTCAAGACAAAGACCAAAAATACCCAGCCACTGCACCGGGACAGAAAGAGCCACCTCTTCAGCTTCTGCCACAAATAATAGTGATTATTATTATACTATAATAATAACAAATATATTGTGTATTATATGATATGTTTACATATTGTACAATTATATTAATATAGTAATATAATCATTATTATGATTGCCAGTGCCTGTAATACTAGCTGCTCAGGAGGTTGAGATCTAAGAACTGAAGTTCAAAGACAGCCTGGGCAGAAAAGTCTGAGAGACTATCTCCAGTTAACCACTAAAAAGCCAGAAGTGGAGCTGTGGCTCAAGTGGTAGAGCGCCATTGAGTAGAAAAAAACAAAGCTCAGAGATAGTAACCAGGCCCTGAGTTCAAGCCCCACTACAGACACACACACACACACACACACACACAAATCATACAAATATGACTATGACTAATTTACCAGAATCTTCCTCTGTGGGGACTAAATTGGTCTACAGCGACACGATTTGGCCTGCGGCTTCCTGGCAGCTGGGGGCTCTCTCTGCCCTGTGGGTCCTTGCTCTCGATCTTTCCCTTTCTTCCCTTCAGCCCTCATCCTCCCAACCCCGACCTCCTCTCCGTCCACAGGCTGGATGGCCTGTTCAATGTCCACCCCTCTCAGGCCTCCCCGGGGCTTGGAAATGTGGGACTTTCACCCCACTGCCTCCTGAGGCCCAGGGAGAACCCTGGAGAGGGATTTTGCTTACGTAGTCTTGCCTCTGGTTTGATCTTGTCCTGTCCTGTCTCTGAGACTGCCCTGCTCCTATATACTCCCCCTCTCAAGCCACCCCTTCCCCCCAAATCCATGTGTCTCCAGTATCCTCAGAGTCTCCCCTGTAACTACTGCCAGGAGACTGAGGAGGCCCTTGGGCCACCAAGCTCTCTAAGCTCCATGCAGCATCTACAACCTCCAAGCTGTGTGACCTTGAAGAAATGACTTCAGGTCTCTGTGCCCCAGGATCCTTGGTTACCACCTAAGAATAGAGTGCTGATTTATAGGGTTGCTGGTAAAGAAGAACAAGATGTTTGCTTATAAAGAACTTACGATAAAGCCAGGCTTGGGTGGCTTAAGCCAGGCATGAGTGGCTCACACCTGTAATCCTAGCTACTCTGGAGGCTGAGATGTGAGGATCACAGTTTGAAGTCAGCCTGAGCAGGCATGTTTGTGATAATCTTACCTCCAATAACCACAAAGATCCTGAAGTGGATCTATGGCTCAAGTGGTAGAGAGGTAGCCTTGAGCACAAACGCTCAGGGACAGTGCCCCGGTCTAGAGTCAGGCCTTAGGACTGGCAACACACACACACACACAACTTAAAACAACATAGCAAGGGGTCAGCAGACAATATGGCAATTATGATTAGCATCTCCCCCACCAATTAAAGGTGTTTGGGGGTTTTTTGGTTTGGGTTTTTTTTTCTAATGCCTGGGTAATGACGGAGACTCAGAATTTTGGAGGGAGAGTGTGTGAGTGTTTGTTTGGGAATTTTCACCTGCGCTGTTCCGGCGGGAAGCACACAGCTGTAGAATGACTTGTGACTTTTAAAGATGGCATTTCCAAGTGATTTTTTTTTTTTGCCTCATTCCAACATCTATTCACCCGAGCGTTTTTCCAGGGAAACCAGCCCCACTCTAGGTGTAGAGGAGAGATGAAAGTCAAGGCCCCCGGGGAGTTGCTTGGTGTTGAAGGAAAATAAATGCTGTGGAATCTACTTCTCTGAAACAAAGACGGGGCTCTGCGCCACATTTCGTTGTCAATAATTAACAGCAACAAGCAGATTGCATCAAGGCAATTAGCATACCTGAAGCAGTGGCTTGGGGATTGGATGGCCTAAGATTTGTCTGGGCTGCAGTTTCCTGGCTTTGGCTAAACAACAACTTGCTTCCTCCGCTGCCTGACCAGATTCTCTGAAGGACATGCTGACCCTCAAGCCATACACTGTGTATTGATTGATTGATTGCCTGATTGATTTCCCCAAAGAAGCAAACTGAACTACAATACAATTTCTAGAAAGTTCTTCAAAATCAATCTCTTGGTTTGGATCTACCTAGACTAACATTTGTGCGGATAAAAAGACATGCAGCCCAGGTTGACCTAGAACTGGAGACTCTCCCGTCTCTGCCTCCGAGTACTGGGATTACAAGCCTGCACCACTATGCCCAGCTAGTAGCAGAATGTTCCAACAGGGTGCTTCCAATATGGTAACCACTACTAGCCTACATATGATGGCTTTCTGCTCCATGTTTAGGAACCAAGGGACAAGCCTAAGTATTGTGTAGTCTGACCATCCTTTGCCTGTGTGATGTATAATTTTTTTTTTTTTTGGTCCGTTTGTGGGGCCTGAACTCTGGGCCTGGGCGCTGTCCCTCAGCTCTTCAGCTCAAGGCTAGTGCTCTACCACTTGAGCCACAGCGCCACTTCTGGTTTTTTTCTTTTTTGCTTATGTGGTGCTGAGGAATCAAGCCCAGGGCCTCATGCATGCAAGGCAAGTGCTCTACCACTGAGCCACCTTCCCAACCCAAGTGATATATAATTTTTGTGGATGACCATACTCACAGGCCAAGAACTAATGGCTCACACCTGTGATCCTAGCTACTCAGGAGGCTGAGATCTGAGGATCAGGGTTGTAAGCCAGACTCTTAACCTTCCAATAATCAACAAAAAACCAGAAGTGGATGTGTGGTTCAAGTGGTAGAACACCAGCCTTGAGCAGAAAAAGCTAAGGAAGAGTACAGGAACCTGAGTTCAAGTTGGCACACCAAAAAAAAAAAAAGAATCCTGGTTGGATTTCAATGTTTCTTTGTTCCAGTGTGGGAAAGAAATTGAAGATCACATGAAGTGATATTTCAGAGTTTCCAGTGATTGTGTCAGTAGATACTGAAAGGAACGTTCTATAGCTACTTCTATCTGCAATAGAGAACCCTAAAAAACTAGTAACCCTCTGCAGTAGGCCCCTGATCACTGGAAGAAAATGAAAAGCCAACACAGAGCCTCTCTGAATGCTGGGAATGTAGTAAGAAATCAGCAGTCACTGATCCTTTTCCCTAAAACAAATGCCACAGTGGGGTAAGGGGACTGAACATTTATTTTCCCATAGTCTGAAGGCCGGAAGTCAATCAAGGTCAAGGCTGCTAAGGCTTGCTTTCTCCCAGGCGCTCCCTCCGTAGGTTGCAGACAGCTTCTTGTTCCCTCATTCTATGTTCTCACAGGGCCTGTCGCTGAGCTGTGCATTGTGGGTATGTCTTCTTCCTCCTAGGAGGGCACTCGTCACTCACCCATATGACCTCATTTGACTTAAACCTCTTTTTTTTTTTTGAGGGTTGTGGGGCTTGAACTCGGGGCCTGGGTGCTGTCCCTGAGCTCTTTTTGCTCAAGGCTCCCTAGCACTCTATCACTTGAACCACACAAGGCTCCACTTTAGGTTTCCTATTGGTTGATTAGAGATAAGAGTCTCACACAGAGTCCCTGCATTGGCTTTGAACCATGATCCTCAGACCTCAGCCTCCTGAGTCGCTAGGAGCCACCAGCCTCCAGCTTCCACATATTTTTAAAGGCTCTGTTTCCAAATGCACTCACACTGCGGGCTAGGATTTCAATACATAAATGGAGATGCATAATAAATCTCATGGCGGGAGTTAGCGCTGCTTCATAAAGCTTGGACATACTTGTCGTAGCATTTCTATTGGACCTGCATAACACTGCTGACATAAACAGGTTGCAGGATCCACACCTGGAAACAGCTTCCGTCTGCCTGACGGCCTCCTGTCTTTTCTTTCAGAAGCCAGCAGTAGCAGCAACTTGACCTTGACTGCCCACCACCCAGACCCCGAGACCCTGGAACAATGCCCCAGTAAGCTGCCCCTGCCAACTGCCCTCACCCTAGAGCACCCCGCTTCAGCTCTGCATTGCTTGCACAAACTCTTGGCTTTCATCAGAATCCAGGCTTGTGATCTCTGGCAGGAACGGATTCAGTGACCCCAGGCCCTGCTCAGGTGGGGTGCAGAAGCTCTGGAAAAGCTTGGAGATGAAAGTCCATAAAGATCAGCCTGCCCGACTTCTGCCCAAGGCAGGACCTGGCTCTGATACCCTGTAGATGTTTATGATCATTCCATACTTGAAGCTTTCCAGGGGTGAGGAGCTCAGAAATCCCTACCCAGCCATGGCTACCTGTTAATCAATATTGGTTTTAAGTCTGGTCCCTCATCAAAGGACCAAAGGTATTTACTTCTGGGCTTTTATAAAGAAAAGCAATAGAGCTGGGTGTGTGTTGTTGGCACAAGCCTATAATCCTAGCTACTCAGGAGGCTGAGATCAGAGGATTGGAGTTGGAAGCCAGTTCAGGCAGGAAAATCCATGATGGTCTTATTTCCAGTTAACCAACAAAAAGCCAGAAGTGGCTCACTGGTAGAGCACCAGCCTTGATTGAAAAACAAAAACAACTGAGTACATGTAGGCTTGGAGTTCAAGCTCCAGTACTAGCATTAAAAAAAAAAAAAAGCAATAATGTATAGAGGCTGAGAATGTGGCTTTAGAGTTTTACAAACTGAGGTTTAAGTTTTTCTCATTGTACTTAGCAGATAGCTAGCTGGAGGTGTAGCATGTAGCTCAGGGGTGCATGCATGTTTGAGGCGCTGGGTTCAGTCCCAAAATCAACATAATATCATCATCATCATTGCTACCTTGTGAGAAATACTTAAAGTACCGTTCAGGGCACTTAGCATAGTAGCAAGTGCTTGTTCGTGTCAGCTGTCATGTTGCTGATGTTCTAACCAGTACTGGAGCGAAAGCTGACATCCATCCCCCCTGCTCTCCCCTCCCCCTCCCCCCCCAGATGTGGACTTCTGCCCACAAGCAGCCCGGTGCTGCCGTACGGGCGTGGATGAGTACGGCTGGATCGCAGCCGCTGTTGGCTGGAGTCTCTGGTTTCTCACCCTCATCCTGCTGTGTGTGGACAAACTGATGAAGCTCACTCCAGAGGAGCCCAAGGACCTGCCGGCATGAGCCCCCCTCCCTCCCTCCCTCCCTCCCTCCCTCCCTCCCTCCCTTCCTTCCTTCCTTCCTTCCCTCCCTCCTTCCTTCCTTCCTTCCTTCCCTCCCTCCCTCCTTCCTTCCCTCCTTCCTCATGCTCTACCCCTAGCTCCCTTCTGCAGCATTTAAAGGGAACGGAAGAAGGAGAGAGGCAGCCAGCCTTGCTTCATGCTGGGCTCCAAGGGGCCCTTTACAGTCTGAGGGACTCAGTGCTGGAGGAAAGTTCTCAGCAATCACTCTTGTTGTATCTACAACTCTCTTCTGGGCACCCAGGGAGTACACAGGAAATCTGACTTGGTCTTTCAGTCAGCATATCGCTGGCTCCCATCTCTCCGCAAGCATCCCTCACCCTCCTTCACCCCTAGCTACACCCAGTCCCTCCCCATCTCATTGCCTCTCCCATTGCCGTGAAATCCTCCCACTCTCTCCCACCCCCAACCCCCGGACCCTTGCTTGGCCTTCCTTGGACCGTGCCCAGGGATGTTTCACTCTGTTCCAACTGTGCATGGGTGGGGCAAAGGATATAGATAGGAATTTTCTAGACCTTCTATTCAACTTTGCTGTGAACCTAAAAGTACTCTATAAAAATAAAATCTTACCATCTGAGCTAGGTGTAATGGTGCATACCTATAATCCCAGTTTCTCCGGACATAGAAGTGGGAGGATTGAGGTTCAAGGCCCGCCTGAGTAAAATTGGTTTGAGATCCTATCCAAAAAGATAAACAAACAACAACAACAACAAACCTAAAGCTGGGTGCTGATGGCTCACACTTGTAATCCTAGCTACTCAAGGAGGCTAAGATCTAAGGATTGTGGTTCAAAGCCAGCCCCAGCAGGAAAGACCAGAAGACTCTTATCTCCAATGAACAACCATAAAACCAGAAGTGGAATTGTGATTCAGAGTAGTAGAGCGCTAGTCTTGAGCAGAAGAGTGCAGGGGCAACGACCAGCCCTGAGTTCAAGCCCCACAACCAACAAAAGAAAAAAAGAAAAAGGGTTTTGGGGGACATGGATTAAGTGCAGGTAGAGTATTCCTAGTAACATGCACGCCTGTACACACATACACATAGCCTAATTTAAAAGTATCCTAATTTAAAAGAATGTTGTTTTGTTTTGGGGGGCTGGGGATTTTTTTTGTTTTTGAGTTTTGGTTTCTTATTGGTACTTGGGTTTGAACTCAAGGCCTTGTGCTTTGGTAAACAGGAGCTCTGCCATTTGAACCACAACCCCAGCCCAAGACGGTGGTATTCAATGCTTCACGTTAAACACCTTTAAACTTAAAATCTTCCACAAAAGACTGGTTAAAAAAAAAAAAAGATGGGCTGGGAAGGTGGCTCAGTGGTAGAGCGCTTGCCTTGCATGCATGAGGCCCTGGGTTCGATTCCTCAGCACCACATAAGCAAAAAGAAAAAATGCCGGAAGTGGTGCTGTGGCTCAAGTGGTAGAGTGCTAGCCTTGAGCTGAAGAGCTGAGGGACAGCACCCAGGCCCAGAGTTCAGGCCCCACGACCGGACCCAAAAAAAAAAAAAAAAAGATACCTGGATCTATTTGTACTACTGTATCAAGCTAATGCATAAATCACTTGAGAATCTATTCTTTAGAACATTTACACTGATTAATTATCAGGATAATTATGTTTCCTTTACTCTTTGTGAGAACTGCATACAATTCTTTGGGGAACACATAAGGCCCATTGGGGGTGTGGGGCCCAGGCCTGCTCCCTGTGAAGGTCCTGGTGTTGTGGATGCCTGTTTGAAGGGTGTAGTTCATCATCATTAGCCCCAGTCACTGGGTCCCCACTGGTCTCTGCAAGATCCCCCGATCTCACCATATTCCCTTCCTCCCCATTCTCAGCAGTCCTGTGTGTCCCTGTTCAAGGCGAGGCATTATTGTACGTTCAGACCTTAGATCTCATCCTGAGCAGAGTTTCTAGCTGGAGCCCAGGGTTCCATCATGGGGGGTCACTGTCTCCATCCCCTGGGAGACAGACCCTTACCTCAAGCCCTGTTTCCATATCACACGGGGATGGAAAGGTCACATGTGCCCTGCCTGAGCCTGTGGCCAAATGTACCTGGGAAATAACGTCAGCCACAGGATCTCCGAGGGCCTAGGAGAAACCATGGGTCCAGCAGAAGTCCCATGGGATGGCCTGCTCTTCAAGTGGTCACACAAGGATTTGAATCAGCCAGCCAGGAAATTGAAATTGACTTTTCCTTGTTTTTTGGATCCTCCACATTCCTGGACAGGCACCAATGATGCCAAGACCTCACATAAGAACAAAATCCAGTGTTCCCATGGGGTGGAGAGGGGAATTGAATCTATTTATTGAATTTGATTTTGGAGAGTGCCTTGTTACTGAATTGCATCAAAAGTATCATTTTTCCCTTTAATGTGATTTTTTTTAAGTAGCCATCCATAAAATCCCAAGGAGTATACATTTTAATTAAATTGAAATTTTAAATGCATTCCTCTATTCCTATACTCATGTTTATTGATAGATTTTTTTTTGTCCCCTTTTGAGCTTGAACTCAGGGCCTGGGCACTTTCTCTGAGCTTTTTTTTTTTTTTTTTTGAATTTTTAAATTTTTTAAATTTTTTTGGGGGGGGTCTGGTCGCGAGACCTGAACTCTGGACCTGGGCGCTGACCTCAGCTCTTCAGCTCAAGGTTAGCGCTCTACCACTTGAGCCACAGCACCACTTCTGGCTTTTTCTGTTTATGTGGTGCTGAGGAATAGAACCCAGGGCCTCATGCATGCAAGGCAAGCGCTCTACCACTGAGCCACCTTCCCAGCCCTCTCTGAGCTTTTTTGTTCAAGGTTAGTACTCTACCACTTGAGCAACAGCTCCACTTCAAGCTTTTTGGTGCTTAACTGGAGATAAGAGTCTCACACATTTTCCTGCCCAGACTGGCTTCAAACCACAATTCTCAGATCTCAGCCTCCTGAGTAGCGAGGATTATAGGCATGAGCCACCAGCACCTGGCCATAGTTATTTCTTTAACCAGGCCAAGACCTGCTTTTCTGTGAGGCCCTGGTTCTGTGTTTAGAGTACTGTAAAGCAAGTCCAGTCTCTTGTTCTCACGACAACACAAAGTCATCCAAAGCCAGATTTGTCTGCTATAAGACTTTGCTCGTGGTGGCAAATACTAGCTTCCAAGTTTCTCATTCAGATCAAATGGTTTCCACTGCTGCCCTGGTTCCCGGCCATGTCTCTTGCTCCAAATCAAAAGCATTCTTTTCAAAAACAGGGTACCTAAAGTAACTGGCAGGGTCATAGAAATTCTTACTCCCCCTCCCTACAGCACCATCATTCTATTCTAGACTTGACGGCTGGGTCTTATTTAGTTTTGGGGCTTGAACTCAAGGCTTATGCTCGCACTTGGCTTTTTACCCCTTCTACTTAAGGCTCTCTTCTCTACTACTTGAGTTATACTTCCATTTCTGACATTTTGCTGGTTAACTGGAGTTAACAGTTTCTCAGATTTGTTTGCTTGGGTTAGCTTTGAACCATGATCCTCAGATCTCAGCCTCCTGAGTAGCTAGGGTTACAGGTGTGAGCCACCATTGCCTGGCCTAGCTGTTTAAATGTCCCAGTGCTCCTAATGACTCCTACCAATGATGCCGGTTCATATCCTTAAATCTCTTCCTGCAAGTATTGTTAGACCATATTCCCCTTATTCTATGTGAAAATGGGAGATTGTTGGAACTTGGGATTTTATATTAAATAAGAATATAATTTAATTTTTTTCTTGGTCCTGTGTTTTAGCCCATCAATGTCATTTTTCCCATCTTGACACTGTCCTTGCAAAATATTCAAGTATCTAAAAATTCAGTAAATCAGTTGTGAGCAGCACCCAAATACTTACAACGTGTAGGCCAGATGCCAGGAAGCTCTGAAGGTGAACACTTAAACATCCTGAGGGGAGGGGACTGTATCAGGTGTCAGAGGCTAGCCTGCTGAAGGTCCTGCAGAAGTTTTTGCCATGGGGAAGGGGTTTCCGGCTGAGCAGGAAGGGCATCCTGGGGAGTTGTTTATGTACTCAGCTAGGAGATGACCATCCTGTCCTACAGAAAGACATCGAGCCGGACACCAGTGCCTGATGCCTGTCACCCTAGCCACTCAGGAGGCTGAGATGTGAGGACCACAGTTCAAAGCCAGCCCAGTCAAGAAAATCTATGAGGGTTAATTTCAATGAACAACCAAAAAGCAGAAGTGGAACTTTGTGGCTCAAGTGTTGGCCTTGAGCACAAAAGCTCAAGGACAGCACCCACGCCCTGAGTTCAACTCCAGTACTACACACACACACACACACACACACACACACACAGATAGATAATGTTTTCCAAGAGTTTCTCCAAGGCAGCTAGGCAGCTAGCTGCGTGCTAAGGTCTACAGGGCTGCCTCTCTATTAAAGCCCAAACTGGACCACACAGCCCTCCATCTCCACCAGCAACACCAGCCAGCCCGCAGCACACCACGCTGATCACGCAAAGAACAAGGTGGAAGGGGTGGGCTCTCCTGCGGACGGTGTAGCCTCAGGTGCCACCCTCCTTCCCTAGATCCTCTCCTGACTGTCTCTCCAACGACATCTCCCACGGATTCCCAATCCCTCTGTTCTACACCTTCCCTGCCATCCCTTGTGAGCTCTGGAATCTAAATCCATAGCAGACTGTAAGGTCAGTTAGAAAGCCAAGCATCTGGCTCATGCAATGAGATCAAGTTGGCTGACATTTACTCACTTTCTTATGTATTTGTTTAATGTTGGTTTTTCTTGAGACAGGGTCTCACTATGTAGGCCAGGCTGGCTTTGAACTGACATACCTCATGCCTCAGCCTGGGAGGCCCAATCTCACTGGGGTTACAGCTTTGTGCCACTTTACTATATGATCTCATTATGACTTTTACTAGCATACATTAGTTGTATAAGAAGGAATGTAATTGTGACAGATCTATGTATACATATGATGTAATCAAACTCACCCCCATCCATCACTGTCCCTAACTCTCTCTCCCCTCTTCTAAAACATTGCTGACATATTTCAATGTTCTCATAAATGCAAATAAATGAGTTCGACCATATTTGTCTTCGCTTTTTTTTTTTTTTTGGTCCGGTCCTGGGGCCTGAACTCAGCGCCACTTCCGGCTTTTTTCTTTTTGCTTATGTGGTGCTGAGGAATCGAACCCAGGGCCTCAGGCATGCAAGGCAAGCGCTCTACCACTGAGCCACCTTCCCAGCCCCTTGCTCGTTTTTTTATTACTTACTTATCTATGCCAGTATTGGGGCTTGAACTCAGGGTCTGGGCACTATTCCTTAGCTTTTTCACTCAAGGCTGCTGCTCTATCAATTGAGCCACAGCTCAACATCGAGAGTTTTTGTTTGGGGTGGTTAATTGGAAATAGAGTCTCATAGGCTTTCCTGCATGGCTGGCTTTAAACTATCATCCTCAGATCTCAGTTTCCTGAGTAGCTAGGATTATAGGTGTGAGCCACCATCAGCCAGTATCACTTTATTTTTATTTTTATCAATCGTGGGGCTTGAACTCTGAGCCTGGGTGTTATCCCTGAGCTCTTCAGCTCAAGGCTAGCTCTCTACCACTTGAGCCACA